TCACATGGTAAGACCAAGTGCATCTTCTTTGAGAAGTGAATTTTATTTGAGACACTCAAAAATGGTTTTCATCAGTTTCCCTTCCATTTTGCTCTCAAATGCTTTTGATAAAGAGCCGTCTTTTACTCACTTCAGAGAGATGCTCTAAATTCTTCCAGAAATGTCTCATTCCCCTTTGAAGAGTTTCTGTTGTAAACATCAGAACATTTTTGGGCTGAATTTCTGGTCTAGTGCCTCTTTTGGGGATAGGCACAGAGCACAAAAAATGGGCTGGTTAGCATTTCTCTTGATGAACAGATTTTAAAGAAACGAAAGCATGACAATGAATCAGAAGTCATTACTGCAAAAGTTAATAAGGAGACGGGAACATGCACGTATAGCGTTTGCTTCTGGAATTTGGCCAGGCCACTGGGGAAGGCGCAGGAGGAAAGCCGAGAAAGGGAATACGGAGTTCAGGCAAGTCCGTTATGCACATTCTCATTTCCAAAGTGTTTGAAAACCATGTCAAGAAATGTATTGCATAAGTTAAACCAGCTGCCGGCAACTTTTATGTTTAGCACTTTCCTGGGTCACCAGATAGCAGGGTACTTCCTCAAGATCACTGTGCATAAGCAAAAACCAGGAGGATTTCCTTTATGCAACATCCTTATTCTAACAGAATGGTGTGATTTAACCTCCGGAACTCACTGTAGAAAAAGAAGTAACTGTTGCTGGGCCAGACTTATCTTCTTTTGTACTTCGGAGTGTATGTTTTCAAACAAGGCACTCAGGACCTGGCAAGCAGTCAGAATCAGGATGCTGGCATTGGAAACAATTGCCATGGTTCAAGAGCTTGGCCTGGCCTTCCACAGTTTACCATTGACATCCACTGTGCCTGATTAGAGTGCACTTACACAAATGAAATAAGATGAACTATGTGGCGTGCCTAGCGTATGCTCCATAAATGTCGCGTCCCTTCTCTTGTTAAACTTTTATAAGGTTAATCTTAAGACAGTTGAGTCTGACTGAACCATATTGGGATGGGCATGTTGGAATATCTTCTCCAAATTCAGTTTTCCATGAAGCCTGTGACTTAAAGTAAAATCAAGAGTCAGGGAGCAGTACTGGTGTTTTCCTTAGTTTTTTCTTGCTTGCGGTTAAGACTAGCCTGAAAACAATCCTTTCTCTCAAAACAGAGACAGAAGACTCTCAAGAGTAAAGCAATGGACAGTTTGCCTCGTTAGCATGCTGTGGTCTCCTTGAAGCTCCCAAGGTTGGCTGTTCACTACCTAAGATGCTAGTGCTCCAAGCTTAGAAAACACTTCCCAAATTAACTTTCATGTATGTTCTTCCTGTTAAGAAGTCCATCAGTCTTTGAATAACAATAGCTTTTGTTAACCTTTGGAGTATAGTTTGACTCATTAAAAAAAAAATTTAGGGGGGCCAGCAGGTGACTTGGTGGTTAAGGCACTGGATTCCCATATGGCCAACCATAGTTTAAGTCCCTGCCCTAGCGATTTGCTTTCTAATTTTCTCTCGCTGATGAGTGCACATGCCCTATAACAAAATGATAAATAAATTAAATAAATAAACCTTAAAAGAAATTTTAGGGTAGCCAGCAGATGGTGTGGTGGTTAAAGTACTGAACTCCCACATGACCTGGCATAGTTTGAGTCTTGGACCCAGTGGCTTGAAAAGCATACTGGGTGAATGTGCATGTGCATGTGTGCCCAAAATTCCAGGAGGAGAATGGAGAAGAAGGGATTTGGGCATGGCCACCTCTAGGCCATTATTTCTTGCGTTCTTTCTTTCTGCCTTCTCCAGCAAGTGCGTGCATCCTGTGGCAAAAGCCTAAAGTATTTTTTATGATGTAGTGGTAGTGCACCTGGACCCACATGGAAAAAGTTCTGGGTTTGCATCCAGGAACTCCCCTGAGCATGCCAGGTGTACATGTCTGTGTCTGTGGTCCAGGCCAGCTGAGACTGGGGGTGAATTACAGCACGCGAGCCTTCTTGTAGTGCAATCTCTCTGTGCATTTGTTTCTCTGCCTCTTTTGCTTTCATAAATTAAGTACATAAACTTAAAAAAAATTTTTTTTCAGTGTGCATCCATCTTTCAAAGTATACTTTGACAAACTTCTAGATATGAGACTTTCTTTCTTCCCTGACACTACTGCTCAATTTTTGATTAAAAAAAAGCAATTTTTATTTAAATAATTTCAGTGGAAATTTTACCTTTCTTTGACTTACAGAATCTTAGAGAAGGTTTTTAGAGAACACCTGGCATATCCAGCTGAGAAAACTGATGTACAAGGCAAGTACAACACTTTCTAAGGGAATTATCTGGTGGCACAGCTGAGGCCAGAATGTGGGTCCAGCACAGTGTTTTTCAAACTGAGGTTTATAAATTCTCTGAACATTAAGAAATACATTTTCATATTTATCTAAAAATTATTTTACTAGTTGTAAAAACTAGTGTTTTTGTTTTTTTTTTTTAAGAGGTTTTTGCTATAGGGTGTGTGCACTTGCCAGAAAGAGACAGAGAAACAGAAAGTGAGAAATCACCCCCCAGGGGGGACGGCCACTCTGCAATCCCTTCTCCTCTATTCTCCTCTTGGGATCTGGGGCACGCACATACACACGCCGGTGTGAGTTTAAGCCACCGGGTTGGGACTCTAACTGTGGTCAACGACATGGGAGTCCAGTGACATAGCCATTACGCTAACTGCTGGTCCCTAAACTTTTATTTTTACAATGGATAATTCAGAGCTGTGAATGTTTTAATTTCATTAGACTGGGTTTATTTGAATTTCTCTCATACTAAACCCTAATCCATGGAGATTGGCAGGTGGGTGAGAAGATTGAGCCACTGAGGGTACTATGTGAGACCTTTCTCCTTTAAAAGTTCTCCTGTAATAAAAATTGATTTTGTGCTTAGGACATCTGACTCTAGAAGACCAGGAGACTGATGTTTCAGATCTCTCTGTGGATATTATTTAGGAGAGGTTTTGGTTTTCGGCAGGTCTAAGTTTAATACCTGGTGCTTCTGAGCCCTGTTTATGAGCAAGATGCTGAAACTCACGAAGACCACATTTCGCTCCAGATGATGAAGTTCATGATAGTTATTTCATGAAGTTATTGTGAAGATTAAACAATGTATATAGAAAGGCTTTAGCACAGAGCCAGGCAATAACTGAAGTTACTGTATTACTAGTTGTTATGATCAGTAACTGGTTTCTACCCTTGAACTTCAGTCCGTGTTAAGAAGGCCCCTCAATTCCCTGTAATATGAAGAAGTTCTCGCCAGCCAAATTTCCCCTTTTTTTTCTTTCTTTCTTTCTTTCTTTCTTTCTTTCTTTCTTTCTTTCTTTCTTTCTTTCTTTTAAGTGCAACTAAATCAGACTATTCTTACCAGTAGGAAAAGATGGTATTTTTTATTGGGGTATTGACTCCCCCCCCAAGTCTTTTGTGCTATATTCAGATAAATTCTCTGATTTTAGGCTATTTATTTACCAGGGTCCTGATAGACCCAAGGTATCTACATATTTTGTTTCTAGCCCTTTTGTTTATCTCTGGGAATCTGAGTCCCACAGCAGGGATACAAAAGTTCTATTTAAAACTATGTGACGATGAAAAGAACAAGAAATCTTATGGGAACAATGCAGAGATGTATAATATCTCACCCTTTTTCACACATGGAACTAATTGTGACATTCATCCCGGGGCCTGGTTTCTGCACTCGGACTCCAGAGCCCATGCTGGAAGGATGTTTTGGAATCTCACCTCTGCCAATGCCCTGTTGGAGAGGCTGCGACATCAGCTTGGAGTTATGCAAAAATAATAAAGTTGAGCATTTTTTCGGAAAGATGACCCATATGTTTAATAAAATTCAGTATGAGAACCAAAGTCTGGTTTGATTACAAGCCACATGAAAGCTTTTCTTAGATGGGGGTTCTCAGTTTTCACAGTGTGGATTTACTGAGTTAGAGTCTCAGTATGGTTGTTGCCTTCTCTGTCACTATTCACTACTCTGTGCTCCACAAAATAAGGAAATTTTGAGTCAGTATTTACTCTTTTAGGTTAAAAAATATGGCTTCCTGAACAATATCTCCTCAGTCCAAAAGAAATACTAATCATAATATTTGAGATAAGGAAACTATGCAGGGGCTGGCCCCGAAGCCCAGTAGTTAAGCACAGTGTGATGGGGCTGGATCTTGCATGGTCAGCTGCCATTCAAGTCCTGGTGCTGGGGGCTTGGGAAAAAACTGGAGTAAGACTGGCCCAATAAAAGACTCCAGAGCCCCTGTAACCAACCACTGTTCAAATCCCAGCCCTGGCAGGTTGGGAGACATGCCAGGCATGTATATATATTGCATGACTTTATGCAGTTTTTAAAATCTTTTTGTTTGGGGTCAGCAGATGACATAGTGGGTAAGGTGCTGAACTCCCACATGGGCAGCTGTGATTATAGTCCTGGAGCCGGTGGCCTGAAACTCATGCCGGGTGTGTGTGTATACATGCCCCAAATCCCAAGAGGAGCATGGAGGAGAAGGTATTGAGGTGTGGCCATCCCCCATGGGGATAATTTCTCACTTTCTCTGTTTCTCTGGTGAGCACACACACCTATAGCAAAAATATCTCTCCAAAAGGAAAAAAAAAAAAAAAAACACTTGGTGGTGTTGCAATGCTAGAGCCATGTGGAAAGGCTCCAATCTGCCATCTCAGGTCTGTGCACAGACACACTTGTGATGATGGATGTGCAGGGCTTGGGGGAGGACGATGGCATGGTAGAGCCCTGTTTGTGTGTATTATCTGACAGTACAAGCATGCTGGAGTTTTTTGTTTTGTTTTCTTTTTTTGCTTTTGCCTTTTACAATCACCATCTTACTAAAAATAAAGCCAAGGCTGCAGAGGGTGAAGTGGCTGGTTCAACATAGCTGGTATCTGACAGCCAGGAGGAGAATTGAGTTCTGAGTCTTAACATTCCAGCTCGGGACCGACTGCAAGTAACAGAGAGTCACCATGATTCTTCAGACACTCTTCGGGTTCTCCTCCAGCATTCGATCAGCAGTCTCAGTTCATTTGTGGAGGAACTTTGGTGTCACAGCAGTGGCATTTAATAAGGAACTTGATCCTGTACAGAAACCTTTTGTGGACAAGATTAGAGAATACAAATCTAAATGACAGACAACTTGGGGCACCTGTTGATACTGGCCCAGAATGTCAGCCAGATCTAGAGAGGGAGCTTTTTAAGCTGCAGTACATGTATGGTAAGGCAGACATGAACATGCTCCCTAACTTCAAGTTTGAAGATCTCAAATTTGAAATCATCGATAAACCCCCATTCTGAAGAAGTAAAGTAACATTAATCCAGTAATTTGTGATGAGTCAGTTGGACAACTACAGAAGTATCAGAATAAACATACATTTTACAACTGTCACATGTTCTCTTAATTCTGACTCTAAATAAATGATTTGGTGATGTTGGAGAAAAAAAAAAAAATGCCAGCTTCTGTCCCAAGCAATTCCCCCGTACAGCATCTGAACTTGATACTGTCCAGCACATCAACATGGGGTTTTTGAGCCCCTTCCATGGCCGACTAAAGTTTACTTTATTTCGTTTGATCTGTTATAGCCCTGCGAAGTAAAGAGGAATCCCTTTACAGACGAGAAAATAGCTCGGAGAGGTTAAACATCTAACACAAAGTAAAAAATTATTAATTTGTAGTGTTTAGATTTATTTCTAAACTATGCCTATGCTCTGTGACACCTTGCAAAAATGTTCAAGCCGTAGCTTATATGCTCTGCTTGCTAAGGTAGGCAAGCCTAGAAAACACTTGGAAAAATGGCAAGTAAAAATTACCCAAGCCGCGACTTCTAAAAAGATAACCTGACCAGCTGCTGTGACAGCCATAATGCAGGTACCCTGTGAGGCTGGCAGTCATAGGGTTCAGGTGTGTGCAGGGGCACCCAGGATCCTGAGGAGCTAGAAGACCAAGGGGATCACAGGATGACGAGACCCTGTGAGGAATGCTCTCTCATGCACATGCATGCATTCTTTACTGTTTAAAAAAAAAGGAGAAAAAGATAATCTGCAAATACTTTTAAAATGCACATATCCATTGAAGTTAAGTGACCAAAATAATTGAATATAGGGACCTCTCTCGGTTCCAGTTCATTTATTTTTCTTTGCTTGAGGCAGAAGACTTAGCTTACTCTTTGAGGCAGTAAATAGGAAAGGAGTCAAGAGATTATCTAGAGGCGGGGTGGGAATGAGATTGAGAAGGAAGCTAGCTGTGCTCTTATCGCAGTCTTCCACTCAGCTCTAATGGCATCAAGTGACTCTCATATATGCAAGGAAACTTCTGGAATGTGCTTCTGTATCAGTTAGCTGTTGCTGCCATAATGACGTATGTATAACAATTCATCTCAGAATCTCAGAGGCACGGCACACTAAGCATTTATTTCTCACTTAGGAGCGGGTTGGCTAGGGTGGTTCTGCTCCTAATCTTTCATCCTTTTCTGGAAGTAGGGGTCTAGCCTGTGCATGCTCTGCTCCTGGCAGGGACAGAGGTGCAAAATGGCAAGCTGGAAGACGTGAAGTCTCTTAAGGCTTACGTTTGGAACTGCCACGTTGTCCCTTCCACCCATTTGCCTCTGGTCAAAGCAAAGGACCAGTGGCCAAGTCATAGGAACAGAGTCAAGAAATATACTCTACGGATAGTAACCGTAGAAGTAAAGGTTGGAGAGAAAGGGGAAAATTGGCACTGCTACAGATTCCAACAGAGTGTATTTCAGGGTTCGTCCTTTCGCATCAGAGGCTTTATATTTTTAAGTTCATAGGCCGTTTTGTAAACATGATGACCTTTCTGAACATGTTTGTCGAGAGATTTTGCAGCACATACCTAGTTTTGCTTTCTGTTTTCAAGGGGTCTCTTAAGTTCAACCGCAAGACCCAAGTTAAGGGAGCCTGCAGGGAATTGTTGCCCTGGGTGACACCCTGTCTTCTGCAGGTGGAGGAGGATACTTCTCTATCCCCTTCCCAAGACCTGCTACTCTGTGATCCCAGATGCTCAAAAATTCTCAAGTGCAAACACTTGTTTTGGATAGGATGTTATGTCTATTTTCCCAAACGGAAATTTTCTCCAAAGTAAATGGGTAGGCAAATGCTCTTCTATGATAACATTTTCATAGGTTCACATCAAAATGTGAAGACTAAGTATTATGAAGTGCTTTAAACTAAATTTGATCAGCATAAATCATCTGGTTTTCCCTGGTATTTGTCTTTGATTTTAAAATTTGTTTTAGGTGGTTCCTTTGTCTAAGAAATCATGACAATGTTACCTAGTATTTCTTATAAATGTTCTTAAACCCTGTTTAGATCCCTAGATCCCTCAAGTTCTTTTGGATGTTTTTTTCTGATCTGTGAAATCTCAAATTTAGAACCACTGATCTAGCCCACCTATTTTTCTGAAGCTGGAGTCTTGAGATTTCTCCCTATCCTAAGGAATCCTGCAAACACGGATTATCTGGGGAAGATCACCACCATCGGTCAGGTGTGACCGCTGGATCATTCCACCCTATGTCAATCTGAAGTCCTCCTTCTGGTTGCTGTATCCTGAGACATACCAGCACAGAGACCTTTAGGGGTTTTCCTAACATTTGTAAATAAGGGAAGAGGAGCAGATTTTCTTTTCATCTGTCTATTGCTGATTTCCTAAATCTACCGCATTAATATTTTGTAATAATTTGCCGTCTGCCTGAAATTTAGGGATGCTTCCAAAGTTACATTATCTTTATTTGTGCTCTGTTTGTGAGTAAGGTTGGGTCCTCAAGGATGTGAGCGTATCAGTTTGTAGCAACATCCTCTCAACCTCAGTTACTCCTCTTTGGGTGAGGACCCTGTAGAGTTGTACTTACCATTCAGGGGAAGGGGGGCAGACCTTGAAGAACAAGTCAGTGTCCTCCGCTAGGGCAGGCAGGTCCCTTAGGATTCCCTGGCCTCAGAACTTGAGCCTGGGCCGCAATCTCCAAAAAGGCCACACCACTGCACTAATGAAAACCCACAGCAGAGGGCAGTCTCTCATGCATATCAAGGCTTCCTTTACAGTGATGTTTATTTAATTGAAGAACCCATAGAAAAGTTTCTTTAATTAGGCTGGCTTCATAAAGGGGAGAGAAATCCCTTGCTATCCTAGAGGCCATCTTTTGTCTGTAGAAAGAACCATTTTGTTCTTCAAGGGGAAATGTTCCCTCATCCCTATCCCCCTACTGCTATGTCTGATTTGTGAAATTCATAGACAGAAGGGGGTTAATTTTAGAATAGCTTTTCTGATTTTTTTTTTTTCCAAACCAGATATGCAAAATGGTGGGGACATCTGAGCACAGTGTAGCCAGGCTTGCCAATTTATCAGACTATCTCCCTGCTCAAAGGCGAAGTCTTGAGAGGATTATTAATGCCAAACATCTGTTTTTCTTTCTTGTGTCAGGCATTCTGCTGTGTCTGTTTTATACAGTATTTAATTTAATAGTCACAGAAACCCCATAAGGTAGATATGCTTGTTATTGCCATTTACAGACGAGGCAATGGAGACAAGGAGAGGGGAGGACTTAGCGTGTGATCCCCAGCAAATCACGGAACTCCTCCGGCCTTGATTTGCTCATGGGTAAGACAAAGGTGTTTGACTCAATAGCTTCCAAGATCTCCACTAACTCTCGGTTTGGGACAAACCAAATCAAAAGCACTGAAGTGAGAGTTAGGAAAATGGGCTTGTCTGGGGTGGGGGCATTTTGTGTGTTGACAAGTCACCTGGGCTGTGCTTTTTGTCCTTTGTTTTAAATTCCTTGAGCCTAAGGGATGACAGAACTCAGTACTGACTCAGTCTAAATTTTAAGCCAGCCCATGGTATGGTGGTGACAGTGGCTGGATCCCACATGGTCGATTTCATGGTTTAATTCCAGACCCCACAGCTTGAGAAACTTGCTGGGCGTAAGTGCCTGTGTGTCCAAAATCCTGAGAAGAGAACTGAGGAGAGGGGATGGTGGTGTGACCACCCCCCCCCCATAGGAGGGATGCTTTCCCATTTTCCCTCTCTCTGCCTTTCTCCTGCAAACGCATGTGCTTTCAAAAAAAAAAAGATTCCTAAGTGTTTAAATGTTGAGCCTGGTCCAATTTTAGCAGTACCCTGCTTCAGTTCCGAGGAATGTTGAAATGAGAACTGCACTAGTGATTCTGCAAGCTTGGCCACTTAGAGTATGCTTTTGCTTTTTGATGGAGTGCAGAATGAATTGTGAAGGACTGAATTATATAAAAGAGATGAATCCCATTTTGTTTTTCTCTTAAAATCTTACCAAAACAACCTGATTTGTCCCTCCCCCTCAAAATATCCCCCCCCCAAATAAACAGAAATTTGGGAACTGATCTTTTTAGATGGAAGGTTTATTCTGTGAGACATCACCCCACTGTCAGAGAAGACTTATTCTGAGTCTGTTTCTAATCTTTTCATATTCTTTCATATACCTCTAACCTGGTCTTCATTGCTGGCTGCTATTAATACTTAGCAGAAATAGAGGAGAGACAGGAGTGAAAAATCCCCGCTGAGTGGTTCTTAAGTAATGGGGTGTACCTTGGTCGCGCGTCGGAAGTGGTCCATGCAGATTATACATGGCAGTGGGTGATTGTTTAATGGTTTGGGGGGAGCTTCCAAATCATATGACCAGAAGGAATAATTTTAGATAGAGAAAAAGAACTTACAGTACACGTGAGAGGCTTTTTATTGGTTGCTATATTAAACTGTACCATATGAAATTGCTGTTTGGTAGAGAAAGTCTGGGCTGGGAAGAACAAATTCAGGAATCATCAGCATATTGATGGTATTTAAATCTGTGAATGAGATCACTTAAGGAGAGGGTGGAGCTAGAACCGAGGGCCCTCCCAAGGCCTGAGGCTCTGCCCAGTTCAGAGAATTTATGGAGGAGGAGGGGGAAGAGGAAGAACTAGCTAAGGGATTAGACAAGGGGAAGTTGTGTCCTTAAATATTCGAGTCACAAGGTTTAATACACAGATACACACACACACACAAGTCCTGGATCTAGCATTGGTTTTTACAAGTGAATCTTCCCCTTCCAGATAACCTTGCCTGGCAAAGATGCTATTTTGTGAGAGGAAGCAGCAGGAGCTGCTAAAACTGAGATAATGATTCATTATCTGTTAATGGTTTCCCCCTGTGGTTTCTCTCTCTTCCTCACAGCCCCCCACCCCCTTTTAGGGGAATTTTTCACATGCTACAAAATCTTTTCTCTGTAAAATCTTCAGCATTCTTAAGCCTTCTGGACTTACGCATGGAAGCT